CGTCTCCATAGATGACTGAGCCTCTGAAAAGCCACTACGGCCTTGCTGAGACACGAAGTAAGTTCCTCAGTGATGTGAGCACCAGAGGTGACACAGCTACCAAGGTAAGTGAACCGATCCACCACTTCCAATGGTTGTTCGGAGATAGCTAAAACCGAAGCTATGTCGGCCCAGTCCTACAACAGCAGTTCGCAAGTTGAAGGTGCAAAGTACATGCCGAACCGTGCAGTGTTACGCACATGTCTGTGCTGTGGTGTTTGTATAGCCAATTCATCCGACCTAAGGAGAACTATGTCGTCCGCGTATTCCAGGTTTGTCAGTCGGTCGTCTGGCAGAACTTCCACTTCAGAATAGTCTGAAAGAACCGAGTCATTCATGGTCATTTTGATCACAAAGTTGAAGAGGAAAGGAGATATAGGACAACCCTGGCGAACCCGATTTACACGGCGTCGGGAACGGGGGTAGAGGGACTTCAGAATGGAAGAGTTTAGCTGGTACGCCCTTAATGGCAGTGCCACAACTTGGTGCGGTCAACAGAGTCGAAGGCGGCTTTCTATTCATGGAAAGCCACCATAGTCGGTGGTCCGTGTGTGTCTGCACTAAAACTTGGCAAAGAGTAAATATGTGGTTTATGCGACCATGGTCAGGGTGGCTTTCAGTGATTCGGTTCTCAGGGGGACCAGTAAGTCTTCGAAGAATGATACCGTGAGACGTTTTGAGGCAATGGAAAGAAGGCTAATGCCTCGATGATTTTCGCATAAAGTACGCTGACACCTCTTGAAGATGGGCACAACAGTTGATAGTCGCCAGTCTGAAGGCAATTCCTCAATGTCCCAAATCGTGTTAAAAAAGAAGCAAGTTCATTTAACAAAGAGTCATCGTCATCTTTCAGCAAAGATGGGGAAAGATCATCGGATCCCTGAGGCTTGTTTCGCTTCACCACGGAAACCTCGTGTCGAATCACTTCCAAAGTGGGAAATGTGACATCTACTTCGCATGTCGGCTCAGGTGATTCGAAAAGCAAGAGTGTCGCAACAGGCATGCTGAACAGCGCTTCAAAATGTTTCGCACAACAAGATAGTCGACGACGCTGAGAATCGATCAACAATCCATCTTTCTAAGCTATTGTCTCGCTGACTGTTGGTTTTCTCAGAAGCATTTTCCGGATGAACTGAAATAGCACCAGGCTGTTTCCAACAGCGCTGGCATTCTCCATCTCACGGGCATTGGCAACCCACCAACGTTCCCGGTGAACTCGAAGACTCTTTGTTAGGCGTCCTTTCAGGGATTTATGGATACGCTGAGATTCAGTGCGCATCGGAACGTGTTTCGATCAAACTGATCGACGTCTCATCATCATTATACATGTCAGCTAGAGATGGTAAAACACCTCCGCTATTGTACCGCAATACATAAAGGAAATACATACATACATACAATACATGAAGGAAAAATAAATACGACAGTTGAATGCCAGCTGAGCTACCAGCAACGGATACGCATCGTTCCGGTAAGCTACTAGCCGGCTACTAGGCAAAACCAAAAATTTAATTACGTTTTACCCTACGAAATAAGATCGTAGATGGAGGGGGAGGCTAAAGGGATGGGGAGGGACAAAGAAACTCACAGCAGGAACGCCACTGAGGTCGGCTCTTTGCCATATCAGCAAGTGTATCCAGCCAAACGTGTTGACCGTCTTTTGCACCCCAACCAGGGAGCCGTGAAGCTCCAACTGAGGCCAGCTCCGAAGTGAGGGCCTTCATTCCTCTGGACCAAGTCATCGCTTGGCCACCTCTCCTCTTCTTCCACCCACATCCCCGGGAGCAAACAACGCACGTCGAGGGAGTCGGTGGGCTGGCATGCGCAACACGTGGCCCAGCCATCGGAGCCTGGTGAGTGACGTCTCAGAGATCCATTCACAGGACATCTCAGGCAGTGTGCACAGAAAGCGTCAAAGGCATTCTTGAGACGATCCCAGTCAGCATTCGGCTCACCAACCTCATTCATCACCGAAAATTGGTGGGCTAATTTGTTATGCTATCGAGAAAGCGTGAACTGCGAGTTCAAGTTACAGGTAAGATGGTCAGAAGATAGGCGATTATTTGAAGTGGGAAGACTGAGCGCCAAGCATGCGCGCACTAAAGCATGGTCGGAATGCAAACATATGCTCGAAATTGACCAACAGTCTTGGAATGATGTGCGCCACCTGGAGCTGATGGCAATATGGTTAATTTAGATCCAGGTCATGGGAAAATTCGATTGGCGCCGGGTGATGCAGTGTGAACGTTGGAAAGCAATGATGTTAATACTAAGATTGTGGTAGGCACACAGTTGAAGGAATCGATCACCGTTGTCCGTTCGGTGTGCATCGACTCAGAAGCGCCCTAACAGATGTTGTGCCGCTTGAAAGACGACCCACTTGGGCATTCAAATCACCAGTAACAATCACGATATCATTATGCTTCGCCATACGGAGAAGAGATAAAAGATGGTATCAGAAGTCATCTTTGGTACCGTTCGAACTGCAATCAGTAGGAGAAGGAATGGAGGCAATGAAGAGGCTTATTGACCCCAACAAAGGTCCAAAGTCGAGCCGCATATATGCGGCTGTTCACCAGTATCCAGTCGAGCAGATTGCCTTCAGCATGTCTGTTGATGGCAATACCAACACCTTAAATACCTTGAGCCATTGACTCGGTATCGCCAGAGATGCGAAGAGTATATTCATTGTCGTCAGATTCAGAACCGAGAAGTCGAACATTCGTCACTGCGCTGTTATCTTGTTTGCCTGTTTCGGAAACATAGCACACATCAATACCAAGAGATTGAAGTGTGAGGGATATGCTACCCGTTGGACTCAGAGTGCAGATGTTGAACGAATCACTGTGACATGCGACACTTGGCTTGAAAGCGGAGTTACATGTCTCGATGATAGCTGCTGCGGGGTCAGCGACAGCCTCCTACATACTAGGCAGAGAAGACGATAATTTGAAATGATTGAGAATACCCGTAGCTCGGGATGTGGATGTGGGTATTGCATTGCTCTCCGAGCTGAACGATTATTTTGCAGACGTTTCGCTGCCAGACTACGCAACATCGTCAGTGCGGCTTTAAAGTCCTGTTTCGCAGAGCCTCGTAAGCGTAAGAAGAAGTAGAGGAATAATAAAAACGTGCGCTATTGTCAATCAGGTCAATGGGACAGATGATGCTCTCCGGCTGCGCATTTCGACGCGCCTTACCTCTAGCCTTTGACTTTACAGTCTGATCCACAAGCCAGTGGAATACATGCACGATCGCTAGATGGACTCCTCCCGGGACATTTGGCATACTGACTGACCCACAAAACAGTGGGGGATATTGAAATTCGCTTGAGAGACTCCACCCAGAGCTTCTAGCCCAATTGCTTGACCCATAATGCAGTGAAGGCCAGGTCCGACCCAAGAGTATGATTGCAGAGACCCGTTGCGATCTGCTTGAGATCTGTCACATGCAGCCTTTGAAGATCCACATGTGTTTCGCGACCATAGTATTTTACGCACCTGCTATCATGACCAGTAAAAGGTTGGAGTTGGCGGGTTTGCACCAATTTGACCAGGGACTGTCTAGCTTGAGGCGGGCGGTAGCCAACCTTTGAACACCTGGTGATGCCTTCCTATCGTCAGAGACAATATGCTGTGCTCGTGGTCTATGAGCTTGTGACAAGTAAACCTGTTATCTCTCATGGATAACTTTTAAGGGAAGAGCACCATCGACCTCTCCCCAACTTCCGAAGACTGAGTTATTCTGAACCCTAACCACTTAAATGTCCTTTGTGCGCGGCTCTGAAGGCACTTGAACATTGCCACTCAACGTAGATCAATGGGTCACGGAGGTGCGCAAACCATGGGAAGTAATGTAATCACGAAATCGGTGGAACTCAAGTACTGTCGCTTTCGACTCCAACCGCTCTCCCCGATGACATTACGTTTCTGACAGGCTTGTTAACATAAGTCAAATATATTTGATCTAACACATGCGTAAAACATAATAATTGTTCATTTTGCCTAGTAGCCGGCTGACAGCTTACCGGAACGATGCCTATCCGTTTCTGGTAGCTCAGCTGGTATGCAACTGTTGTATTTATTTTCTTTTTCCTTTACGTATTGCGGCACAGTAGCTGAGGTGTATCCCATCTCTAGCTGGCGTGTATAATGAATGAATGAATGAATGATCTAACACATTTCGGTGCATAAATCATAGTTGATCATCCGAATCAAAATGAACACAAGCACCATCAAGACGATCGCCTCTGTGCAATCGATATTACGTGGCAGTGCTAGCCCATGGTGGCGCACACGGATACGGTAACTTTTAGTAACTGGTAAGTAGTTCAATGGTTCCGCACAGGCCTTGAGCAGACGGGTTACGGTAAGACTACGCATGAACTATAGAAGCAAGCGGACGCGGTGCACCGGAGTTGAAATTGGCGGCTCACTGATAGGTTTGTACCACATAATTCAGTCAAAATGGGCAGAGAATAAAAGAGAAGCGCCCAAACATGTAAAAGCACACTTTTTGTTTGTTTGCATGTTTGTCTCCTAATAATCGTTGTGAGGCGAGGATAAGGCAAACATGGAAATGACTCGTCCTGTTGAGACGGGGAAAACAGGTTTATTTCTACATTCCAATTGGCGATTCATGGCGTGGTAGCTAGACCAATCAAAACGAAACATTGATTCAGCTCGCGCTGCTGCAATACGGCATTAGATCTCCCCCTGTTTCCTTTTGCAAGTGACTAATTGACCTGGGCGAATATACGAGAAATGTGTAATCCTATCAAAAAGACCGCTTATTTACATGTCAGCCGTACCTTTGCCTAAAAACGAATGGCAGGCTAACCTGGGAACAAACAGGAAACAAGATACCAATGAACATTCTGGAGAGTAGAAAAATTTTCAGTTTTCACCCACTGCACTAGCATAATGCGCACAAAGCGGCGAAGGAAGGCGACACGAACTAACCTTTCAGTGTTTCCTCGACAACCTCTACCACACGGTCGATTTGCTGAACTCCAATGATGCTCACACCCTGTGGGAAAAAAACACGTAAGATACTCATTATCTTACAATGCCCAATTCGTTGGTTTCACGATATGGTAACATTACTCAAAGCCCAAAAAATTCGCATCCGATATATCATTGGCCGAATCGTCTCGGGATTTGCTAGTCTGTGTTGATGCAGCAATAGGAAGGTCGCGAGCAACGGCTGTTGAACCTCTCTTCGGCTGCAAACACATTTTTGGGGTGGATCAGAGTAAATAAGATCCAGTTGAACGTGGGTTGGAACAATGAACACTTTCTAGAAGATCATTTCTGCTAACAGGCACATCAACAAAGGGATAAGTGAGTTCGTGTGACAAAGTTTAAACATCGTGAGTATGTGCACTTCAAATGCATACACACGCACGTATCGAATACACATTGCACTCCAACGGTTAGAGGTATTTGCCAGTCAATCGATAGTGCAAAAAATAAGAGACATACATGCCAGAGACAACCAAGACGATGGCCGAGTGGAAGCACTCCACGAGCGAATCGGGCGAACGAAGATTGTGAACTCCATCGAAACTGGCAGAGAAGTTGTCGCAGATGAACATTAATTAGGATAACAGTATCAGAACGGTGCCTTGTAGACATTCGCTACGGGTGTAGTCTAACCGAAATTATCAAATGAGAAAAGGGAGCATATGTGGGAACACTTGTGTTCGATTTTCTAAGTAGGGAATAACTGTACGGATGAGGGACAGTACCTGTCGTATCAAGGTCGGTACCGGAACTCGAGCTTGAAATACATAAAGTAAATGTGACCATCACAATCCTGTAGCTAGTCAAGTAGCTGCCGAGATATGTGAACACTCCCAGTTCTAGGAAACCAGCGGCTGGATAATAAGAAACGTACTTGAACTTCGAAGGCGTGAAGCATGAGCTAAAAGATGGGACGCATCCGGAGAAGCTGCCCGATGCGGAATATGCCGCTTAGCGATTGCCGAAGGAACAGGGCCGGGTCTCTCGCATAATCAAAAATAAAAAAATCGCCGACAATAGGACCGAGAGTCAATAAAATGAAACAAACGATGAAGGTTGTGATAAAATTGCTTGGGAACTGCAGAGATGGGGAAACCATGAAGAATGCCATGAGTCAACGAAAAACGGTCAGACAACTCTCTGTAGGCCCTGAAAATTGACGTAAACAGCCATGATCCAGGGATGATAGAGAAGTCAGGAAAACATTGATAAACAACAAGGAGGGATGAGCCAGAACACGAATAGAAGAAAGCAAAAAAGAGTTAAGGAAAAAGTGGAATTAACCAAGACGCAACTTTAATAGCTGGACGCAAGGACAAGAATGTCCTACGCATGGCACCTGAGCGTCTACTGCGTCGCGCACTATTCGCTCGTCAAGGACCTGGCTGGAGACGACCGCGTGGTGGTCAGCCTTCCAGTTGGCGGCAACACATGAAATCGCTGACGTCGTGTCTATCCGCTGTTGGATCCGTACGTCTTCCAAGATAGGGACCCAAAGGTGAGGAGTGGAAATGGCTTAGCACTCTTGAAGATATGGCCCGCAACCGGAATCAGTGGAAGAATTGTGTACAGTATTGTATTGATTCACATGTTTAATACCAAAAAGATTAAAATGACGAAAAAAGCAAAAGCGACGTGTGAAAAACAAACTAAAAATGTATTGTTCTACTTTTTGTCAAAATGTTCCATTCTTCCTTGCGGCATATTAGTTGAAGTGTGTTACTCACCTTAAACTAGCATGCCACGATGGTTATGACGCGATGAATCTTGTTTATCTGCTGATCTCCATGGTTTTTGTGCTGGCTCTATGTCTAGTCAATAGACTGTTGAGATTACATACATATATACATACCAATGGCTGTGTGATTGCGCTGTGTCGGACAAGGGGTCTCTAGTGATTGATGAGTACATAATGATACTTCCATCCAGAAAGAGAACACGTATCAACCCAATCAAGTCCGTAAGTCAATTTATTAATGCCACCATGTCACATAATCGGCTGGCTTGCCGAATATCCTCCTGGTGGTGCCAGCTGGGTGGTTCGGGATTTTCCCGCTCCAGCAAATGGTTCGGCGGTAGAGTTCCAGGACGTGATGCGTTTTTGCCTGGCAAGCGTTCTCCGTATAAAAAGCCACATATATCCGTTTAACAACACTGTGACGTGGCGGACGTGACTCGCCACTAAATCAAATCACTGCCCTTTGCTTCATCTTGGCGAAGCATTGTATTCAAGCAAGGTAATGCTGTAATTTTGGGGAGCATATGGCCCCTGTTTGACAAAGGAACAAACGACAGCCGTATGAACTGAAGAATCAGTCACCGGCTCCCAATGAGCGCGATTCCCTGAATTCGCTCTGCTGCCTTGCGGGCAGGCTATTCAGCCAAAGCTCGGCGTGGTGTCCTTTAAGTCAACACCCTACCTCGGCTTGGGCAATCGGGTAGTATCTCGTCCTCTGACGAAATCATGGACTTTAATGTGTTGTGTCGTATTTTCTTTTACTAATTCTGTACCTTGTTTTGAGTTCCATGGTTTCCGATGGCTCAATGTCTATTCATAGACTGTTGCAATATATATATATATATATATATATATATATATATATATATATATATATATATATATATATATATATATAACCGATTGGCTACCTCACGGATTCATCCAACCAGGCGCAGCGACAGCACATAATTCACGTCGAAGGTAGGCAGAACGAAGATACGATCAAGGAGTTAAATTATAAAAGACACTCCAATGATGCACCAGCGGATTTCTGGCCAAAACAAACAAACTGACGGACCACAGCACTGCTCACCCGGTGTTCGCATCAAATGTGGACAATATTCCACAAAGACGGTTAACAGCTTCTTCAGAGGGAGATGGTCATATTCCTGATGTATGTAGCAACAGCGGTATTGACGCAGCGTTGTACAATCAGTGCCATCATCGTCATCATCACCAACATATGTTGCCCAAGAGGAGTAACACACCCCAGCTAATGTACCGCAGGATAGTAAGCAATGTAGACTTAAGGTCTATAAAAAGTAACGTAATGCTGATATCACATTTGTGATCGTTGTTGGAGAGGGAAGCTAAATGGAAGGGGAGAGACAAAGAGACACAACACAGACGCCAATGAAGTCGACTCTTCGTCATGTCGCCTAGTGTATCCAACCAAACGTGTTCAGTATCCTTTGGTCCCCAGTAAGGCAGTCGAGAAAGACCAATCGGAGGCAAATTCAAAGTGAGGGACTTCATTGCTCTTGAGCAATTTTTCAAAAAAATTCGCCAGCTGTACGTCGTAACGGCGCTTCGCTGTCAAGCGACTACCACCAGTCATGCGCGGACTGAGTAGACCACCAGAACACTCACCACTATGCGGGTTCGAACCGGTGACCTTATGGTTGCAAACTAAGTGCGCAGACCACACGGCCACCGGTGCGCAAACAAAGCACGTTGCGGGAGTCGTTGTACTGGCATGCGCAACATCTGGCCTGGCCATCGGAGCCTTATGCGTGACACAATGGTGCTGAGCGGTTCTCCCGCTTGTCCTGCGCCGAGCACGCGCATTGCTCACACGGTGTTCTCACCAGATATGGACCCAACAGCGAAGGCACGAATGATTCAACGTAACTAGCATCTATAATTCTGTTCACTTGATGGGCCAGGTTTCGCAACCATAGACAACAGCTGCATTGTAAACTCTGATCTTCAGATCGAGAACGATGTCACGCCGGCGCCACAGAAGTCGAAGATAAGCAAAAGCATATCGAACTTTTGCTAATCAGTTCCTGATCTCATCTTCTGTCCCACTGGCGCTGATACAGTTGCCTAGATACTTGAATTTCTCGATGACTTCTAAATGATAACCGTCAAGGGTCAGTGCAGGAGTGGGTCCCTGCCAATTTTGGAGAATTTGCAGCAGTGTACATCTTAGTATTAACTGAGAGGCTGAGATCCGTCATTTCCATAGGTGATCGAAATTATGAAAACCAGAATGGATTTGATGATACGCGAGGTAACTTCCTCAGTGAGATGACCACGAGAGGTGGCACAGCGACCGAGCTAAGTGAACCGATTGACCACTTCCAGTGGCTGTCCGCTACTAGTGCAACAGCGCTTTGAAGGTGCAAAGCACATGCCGAAGCGCACGGAGCTACGCAGCTGTCTATGCAACAATGATTGCACAACACCTGGGGCAGACCAAATGTGGGGGCACTGACATACTGCCCGCTGGATAAGGTACGTAAAACGTTCGCAAATTTCAGAAAGTGGGATAAATAGATGAGTCAAACCGCAGGTAGTGGGAGTTCCAACACCGAGAACAGCATCAGGTACGACAAATCTAAGCCTGTGTTTTTGGGAAAGGGATCAAACCCAAACATTGAGAATTGCTTATCAGCCCATGTGATCAGATCCCCAAAGTAACGAACGGGGCTAAGAAAAAGTGCAAACTACGGCAGAAAATAGATGAATAGCGAATTCCCTAACGGGAAGGGAAAATGACAATAAAGTTGTAATTATTCTGATGAGTAGTAGTGAGGAGTTTGGTATAATTCAGCTAATTCATCATTGTCACTCCCAATCAGCAGCTAGGCTAGGCTAGTCTGGAAAAGCACCAGACGCCGGCGTTGCCATTTTCTGGGTCTCGTCAGTGGTGCGCCTCCCAGCTGACCCCTGACGGGTCCCGGCCCCCATGACTTCAGGATGCCAGCAGCTACTGCCACTTCGATCATGGGTGACAGCCGCGGACCTGCGTGATTGACAGTTGACTATGATACAGCCCGGCTCATCTTCCACTGCCATGCCAGTTACGAACTGTGCAGAGGACAATGGTTAGCCTCACGAGCTAGGACTTTCCGCATAGCGCATATGTACCACATAGGACTTAGAAGCTTTACTGACAGATTTTACAGTACCGATGATTGGGAGTGACAATGATGAATTAGCTGAATTATACCAAAATCCTCACTACTACTCATCAGCATAATAAAATATGTCCGTATAGCTTCTAAGTCCTATGTGGTACATAGGCGCTATGCGGAAAGTCCTAGTTCGTAAGGCTAACCATCGTCCTCTGCACAGTTCGTAACTGGCATGGCAGTGGAAGATGAGCCGGACTATATCATGGTCAACTGTCAATCACTCAGTGGCGAAGTGGCACTAGCTGGTGGAATCCTGCAGTCATGGGAGCGGAACCCGTCAAGGGTCCGCTGGGAGGTGCACCACTGACGAGACCCAGAAGATCGAAACGCCGGCGTCTGATACTTTTCCAGACTAGCCTAAGCCTGCTGATTGGGAGTGACAATGATGAATTAGCTGAAAGGTGTAATTGCCAGCAGAGAAAATAGAGGGAATATGGCGTGAATGACGTGATTGACCGGTTCGCTGGTTTTGCGCTTATTCGCCGTGTGCATCGCTTTCCATAGGCGAAAATTTGATCTACAAACCGCGGCACCACGTTTGCAATAGGACGAGGATTATTATCTGTAGACTGTGTGATCGACGTTTGTGTAGCATCTAGTGATATCGCACTGGACAGAAGGGTAGGGAAAGGGGTGGACGAAACAACAGTAGTACAAACCAGTTTTTTATAAGTCAGTCGGAATCAAAGAACTGTTGCCAAAAATGTGGTGATACGTGCAAAATAAAGATAACTACAGTCATAGCAAGCCGTTTTCTTACAGATGTCATTTAGTAGTAATTGCAATGAGACAGGTCTTAGACCGGGAGTCACAACTCCGTGAGTGTTGCAAAGTGAATCCTCACAGGAATGGTATACATGCATGAGAGGTTGATGATGGTTAAAATGGGAGCCAAAATAAGAGAAAAAAACTGAACAATGGTGGCTACCTTTAGATAATCAGCACTCGGTCGACCTTGAGGTACACAGCCGGCGACAACCAAACGCTTGCCAGCTTTTAGACCAGCGGAAACAGCGTTACGGAAATGATCTTCGGCGGGGCCTTTGACGGTACAACTGTTTAGTAGCCATAGGTCGGCAAGATTCTTGGCTTCTTCGTCCGATGGCACTGGATTTACTCGGGAAGATGCTTTATTGGAGTTGTGACAACAGGACTGGGACGATGATGAACAGGTGCAGGGCAACTCTTGAGATGATTCAGAAGTCAAGGCGGGCGAGTGGATAGGAGGCTTTTGCGATCCACCCAGAGTAACATGAAAACCATATTTGGCCAACACCCCGGCCATATATTCACTGTCACTGGTATTGTGTGTGCACCCCCAGGTTTGAACAAAAATTCGGTACTTCTCTGTAAAAACACAAAGTCAACACAACAATAAGAGAAAGGAGGTGCACACGTATAAACCACTACATTATGCATTAGAAAGCTGCACTTCAAGTAAGCGGCCGAAATGGTCAGCTGTTCAATCATATAGTTGTGATGCAAGTAGAAGAGTACAGTGAACTCGGTGACACTTCCGTGAATTGCCGCGATGACACAAATAAATAATGCTGGAAAAAAGAAACCGAACAAGAATTCCAACTGAGAAAGAACTTAAGAGGACAGGGGTAACAGAAGCACTGTGCAAGACCCCAGACCCAGGCACCACAGACTTATCAACGGCCTTATAAAGAGATGCCTCTAACCATGGTGGGACTCATCAAACAGCATATATTCGAGAATAAGATGGGCGTCCGCGTGTGGCATTGGGTTATGGCCCGGAAGTGAATTGACTACTGGTTGGTTCGGCGGAGCTGTACGCCACTGGGCGCGGATCGGGGAACGTCTTCCTTGTGAAAGTAACTGTGAATAAGTCTCGGCTGTTCGCAGGCGAGATGGATAAGCAGTCGTGGACAATCAGCGGCAGCGTCCTAGAGTGTGAGGGGAGTCTGGGCTCGTCACCGGGTTCCTGATTAAATACCACAAGAGCTCGCAAGGCGCTGTGTGAAAGCCAATGTGACCAGCTATATGGTCAATGACCACTCACTTCTGTTCACAGAAGTGTACTTAACGGAGGGCGGATGAACAACCTCGATGACCACCGGCTTCTATGAAGGCGTACGAGCCAGTAGGGCTGATAACGGCCTTCGTGCTTCGCGGCGAGCTCGGTAGTCCTTGCTGCTTCACTGGGGCTCTTTGGGTGCCCTGAGTAGTTTGCCTCTACTCGAAAGCCGTTCACCCAGATAGCCGGCTCCCAACGGCCGTTGTATACGTCAATCGCCCCGCTGCCTTGCGGGTTAGGTCTTTATGACCCAAGGCTCCGGGTGGAGTCCCCTAAGTCAACCCTCTTCCTCGGCCTGGGCAACCGGGAAGTACTATGGCCACACAACCTATGGATCCATATCTCAACAATTCTTTGTTGGCTCTCCTCGCCCTCGCTCTACCTAATCTCACTCTCTAGAACTGGCCGAGGTGCTGACGGTTGAACCTGCCAAACCATCTTTTACCGCACCACGGTTTAGTCACTTTATTTCACGAATGTTCAATCCCCCTCATTCTTGGTCTTCCCCTTCCGTTTTCGAGTTCACAACATCGTGCCGCCTTGGGCGAACGTTCTCCCCATACGGATCAGGAGCCTAAGTCCGAAAATGCGCCAAGTCGTGTTGACAAGCCATTTCTAGCGCCCCGTTCCCAATTCAAGTTGGCAACCTTCAATGTTCGGACGCTGATGCAGATTGGATCACATGCAGCCCTTGCTCGCACTCTAGAAACTACGGCCATTGATGTCTGCTGTCTCAGCAAGACCCGTTTACAGGACTCTAGCACGACGCTGCGACTAGTTTCACTGTCTGCGAATTCCACTGACATTTTCACTTTGTGCCTATCTGGAGACTCAACCGCTGAAGCCGCAGGTTATGCTGGCGTGGGGATTGCGTTGAGCACAAGTGCTGAGGCCGCGCTACTAGACTGGATCCCTGTTAACAGTCGACTATACGCGATCTGACTTGAAACTTCAGTGCGACTGTCCAGGCGCGAAACCAGCTGATGCTGTCTATTCATTGTCGCAGCGTACGCTCCAACAGATTGCAGCCCGAAGTCAGTTAAAGATGAGCTCTATGGTCAACTGGCCGACCCTCTCCGTAAAAAACACCATAGCGACATCGTGGTGCTCACCGGGGACTTGAATGCCCAGGTCGATATACTTAAAGTTGATGAACGTGAACTCGGTGGTCAACACGGTCATGGCACTCGCAGAACTGACAACGGTGATCGATTACTTCAGTTTTGCGCCGATCACGGCCTTTCTGTCGAGCACAAGTTTTCGGGAATCTTGGCGCCAACCCGCCACCCGGAGACCCCCATCACCTGGCCAGCGGTGGACACAAATTGACCACATCGTCATTAGCTATCGCTGGCGGGGTAGCATACTGAATTGCAAATCAATCTGGAGTACCTATCTCACTTTAGATAACGCGCTGGTGTGTGCCAAGGTTGCGCTACGTTTTGGTGGCTCCTAGCAGCGTCGCCAGTAACGGATTGAAGTAGCTAAACTTTCTGTCCCAAACTTTCTCCGCGCATTTCAGGATGCCTTGGCCTCACGGCTAGACTGCCTCATGTACAGACAATGAAACACACTAGGCACACATCCGCGGCGCCACGTATAACTCTGCAAACCTGGTCTGTGGCTTCACCAGTAGTCCTGTCAACCGCTGGATCTCTGCACGATCAGTCCAAATTCTCGAAGACCATCGAGAAAATCCTGCTCGCGTTAAATACCATTGACTACGCAAGGCTACTAACGTTAAACTCAAACATGTTCTCCAGGAAGATCGCGAGGCATGGTGGACAGCCGGGCATTGAGATGGAGCAAGCGGCCACCTCGGGGAATTTCCGTAAGCTTTTCCTCCTGATCCGATCTACTGGCGGGCTGTAAGCGGTTTCATGCGATACCAATGGCGAGCCAATGCACTGTCAAAAACGCCAACTCGAGCGTTGGGCCGAGCAATTTGAGCAGCAGTTAAATTGGCCAGCAGCACCAAGAAGTTCCCATTCTGGAGCCAAGCGCGCTCCCTGGTACGTAGACGCTTCACCACAATCTGAGGCTGAGGTTACCCATGAGTTTCGCCTCTTAAAGCGCTACGAATCCCCTGACCCAGATGAACTCCCTCCGGCTCTTATCAAAGATGGTGGCCCACCACTTGTTCAGGAAGTAACTTCTCCAAGAAATCTGGATCACTGAAGTTATCCCATCTGATTAGAGCCTAGTGGATAACGTGCCCGTCTTCAAAAAGGGTATCCAAACTGACTGCGCCAACCCCAGACGGATCAGCCTCATCTATGATGCTTATTTGGTGCTCGCAGCTCTGCATCTAAGGAGGCTCAGCCTGGTAAGCGAATATAGCACAGGTGGAGAGCAATCTGAGTTCCGCTTATTAATATATATATATATATATATATATATATATATATATAATGGCCAGCCACAGGACGCCTGAAGAGGGACCATGGATGGCTTGCGCTGCACCATCCACAGCTCCATCCACACACCCCATATCCAGTGTAAACCCGAAAGAATAAGACCGGGAGACATGTGGATGGGAGCCACGTTTCATCAACGCAGCCGACCCACACTCCTTCACAGACAAACACAAGCACGCTGTATTTTGGGAATCAAGTGCACACAATGCGGTGGCTAGACCGTAGTCCGCTCCACACTGACTGCATGGAACCACTCTTCGAGCCTAGCACGACCACGAGGACCGTGCACCCCGTCCCCTCTAGCAAAAACAAACTGTCTCCTGGAGCCAGATGGACGAGGTGGTGGGTAATAGACAGGTAGGCACCTTGTCAACATGCACATCAAGCGCAGCCACACCGGGTATATCCAACAACAGCCAATCACTTGAGAGAGAGAGAGAGAGAGATACAAAGAAAATAACTCGAGTAATGGATAAGAAAACGGTGACATAAACCTTAAACTAGTGAGTATATGATATAAGTTGTTTACAAACGAATCCTAGATACGTTCACGAGGTCAGAAAGCATACTTTACGGAAATGCCACGAACACGAAAATGTTAGGGAAATCGAATACAATTGCCTTAAGCCAGTTGTCCAGGTTTATAGAAGAGCATACAGATGGATTATTATTTGAGAAAGAAAAGCATTAGGACAAGATTGAAAATAAACCACCTGAAGTAAATAGACTGAGCATGCAATATATATATATATATATGGTTGGCGGCATCCGGTTTCGGATTTGCCTGTCACTGTGGCAAGCCACAGGACGCCTGCGCCTACAGAGGGACCATGGATGGCTTGCGCTGCACCACCCACAGCTCCAACCACATACACCATATCCAGTGTAAACCCGAAGGAATAAGACTGGGAGGCATGCGGATGGGAGCCACATTTCATCAACGGAGCCGGCCCACACTCCTTCACAGGCAAACACAAGCACGCTGTATTTGGGGAATCAACCGCACACAAGGCGGTGGCTGGACCGTAGTCCGCTCCACACTGAATGCATGGAACCACTCTTTGATCCTAACACGACCACAGGGGCCGTGCACCCTGTCCCCTCCAGCAACGACCAACTGTCTCCTGGAGCCAGTATGAACGATGTAGTGGGTAATAGACAGGTAGGCACCTTGTCAACATACACATCAAGCGCAACCATACCAGGGATATCAAACAACAGCCATTCACTTTAAACGACAAGCTGAAATAAAATAAATCCAATAATGCATACAGATATATATATATAGTGGGTGAAACTAAGAGATTAAAGTGCAGAGTGAATAACAGAATTCATAAATTATGTCCATCCTGATGTTAAGAAGAAATTGTGAATAAATTGCTTTTCGATAAATCTCTTGAGGCAACTACATTTATGAGCCTCATATTCATTTGTGCAGTAGCTATTGCTAGCGATGCGACACGTAGTCGTGAATGCTGCAATCGGATGAGCGGTGGCAATCTATCGCTTTGAACCCACCACCATTGACCCCTATGCCAGACGTCATGTGAGCAGGCTAGGGAAACGGTAAGGTTAAACTCTGCATAAGTGCACGCTGTTTACACAGTTTCGACTTCAATTGTTTGATCGCAATTGCTTCTGCTGTGGAAGTAGGCGCTTCCTGAGTCTTTTTGTGAAGCATTTTGCTGCCACATACACTATTTTGAAGGCCTCTTTCGTTTGTATGTTATGTCCACTATCTACTAGGTGTTATAAGTTGGAGCTGTAGACATTTCTAGTTGTACCACGCTGTAATGAGGCAGGGCAGTGTACCGCTATCCGCTTTGACAGACGTCTGGCCGTGTGTCTGAGGTATTTCGCATCACAAGTGCGAGTGAACTGGTACAGGA